AGTGGTTCCCACTTGGCCAAAGGTACGATGGGTAGAGCGCAAGGCACTGCGGTACCAACTGATGAGTCTTCGCCCATCCCCACGCCCACGCCCGTACCGGCACCGGCACCAGCCCAGAAGCAACAACCGCAAGTTCGGGTTCCTACCGGCGCACCTGAGCAACAAAAGCATTCTCAAGTCGAGAGGACTGTGCCGACGCACCAGCAACCGTCTCCATCACCTGTCGTAACCACCAAACAGCCTTCTCAACGTGGACCTGAACCAGCTTACGCGCAACCGGCAACCCAACCCGAGGTAGAGCAGCCGATTGTGCAGGATGTACGTAAAAGTGATGGTGCTACGATTCTACCGCATTCGGAACCCCGCCAAGGCGCTCCCATATTAGGAAGGAAGCCTTCTATGGTGAAGGAGGAATCCGAGGACGACTTTGAGGACTCCTACGAGGCCGAAGCCGAGCAACCGGCAGCGCGCCACGATGTTTCTGATGTTCTTGATGCAGTACCCGTGAGGTCCTCAGCGCCTGCGAAGCAACCAACGCTGTCATCCGAAAGCACAGCTGTCGAAGCTCCAGCACAGATGTCGTCTCAAAGGCAACCCAGCCCTCCACAACTTAAGCAGCATGGCAGTATCCGGAATGGACGTGCGCACTCAAGCAGTCCTGCAAGATCAGCCCGCTTCGCATTAGGCGCAGATCAACTAGCCATCAGGCACGAGCCTCCTCCGCGATCCGTCTCTCCTCGAAAGTCTGCCATGAAACACTCAGTTAGTCCATCTCGTGGTGCCTCACCGTCAGACGAGGGCTCTGAAGCGTCCGGGCCAAGCCGTTTCGGTAGTGAGGCCACCGCAGTGGAGGCGCCGATGCCGCGTAAAAAGAGCGTACGGGTCAGCTTTGACGATGAGAACACCAAGGTCGTTGGACAATCTGCTGCAAAGCCAGAGCTGGACCCACCCCTTCCTCTGAGTCCTCAAAACACGAAGAGACATTGGTACAACCACCTGGGTAGAAGCCGGAAGAAAGATGCGGTTGCCCTCGATGAAGACGAGGTTATGCAACCGCGACCGGCTCTGCCCACATTCGGCAGCGTCCGTGAGAAGATGCCGCGGGACAGTGAAGAGGAGCGGCCACTTGTCCGGCCCACTGAATCGCCGACGACATCTGGTCCAGATACCCCGGAACGCACGCCAGACCGGTCGATCCCACTTGGTCAGTCCAGCGACCATAATGTTGGCTCGATTCTTCATCTTCAAGAGCAGACGGCTAGGAACCCTGCAAACATATCGAGATTCAGAGAGCCCTTGCCGCCCGTAGTCACGTCGATGGAAGGGAGCGGCTATTATTCGCCCAGCAGCACGAGTTCTGAAGACGAAGATGAGACGGAGGTTTTCCAAGATTCAGAGGTTATCCAGGAGCCCGCGCCAACGTTGCCTCCTGCTCAAGTCAAGGAAGAGATCATTGCCGACCATCCTGAATTGCTCGACCAGCCACAGTATTCGACAAATCTTGTTCATGAGAATCACGCTGAACGGCAAGAAGACTTCGTCCCTTCCATCTCCGTCATTCAGCCGACACCGACTCCCAGAGAGGCAGCTACCAACGGTCCGGCCAGCCAGTCAGGTCCAAGTTACTTTGACGTACCGGGAGGCTTCCCAAACGACGACAGCGAAGACAACGTTGTGCATGCCCGCGCTGTGCCTCGTACAGATGTGACAAAGCTCGATCAGCCGACAACGACTGCAGTGTCCAATGGCACAGTCAAGGCACCCGTAGAGGCTATTCCTCACTCTGTTCCCACCGACGAATCTGCGTCCGAAGGCGATAGCATCTACAGTGACGCATACGAAGATCTATCAGATATCGACGGCGATGGGTTCATGTCTCTCGATGCCGTCGTCGCATCACCTGTTTCTGACAAGGTTTCTCAGAAGCTCTACCAGAAAGCTCTGACAGACTCGCATCAGGAGACTGCTCGTGACGCTGATGTCTCGGGAGCACACCACGCGCCTGAGGTTTCACAGGTGTCAAGCAGCTCGCAGCAACCAGAGGACGAGTGGGAGAAGGCCAAGCTCTACTGGAAGGGACTGACAAGCGACAAGCGAAAGCAACTTGAGCAAGAGGCGCTGGAGGAAGCTGGGGCCGAAGGCGATCTCGAAGAGGTCATCCAGCCCGTGAAACCCAAGAGGAAGAAGTCTGTTCGCAAGAGCGACCCAGTTGAACAACAGCAGGCCTCTATCAACCCCGAGCGCGTTTACCAAATTCAACCTGGAACGAGAGCCCCCAATGAAGAAGATGAAGCAGAGCCTCCAATCGCTATTCGGAAGACTATGCGAGGACGGCAGGGTCAAGAGGCTGCGCCAGCTAATGGCAGACTCCAGAAGACAATGCGTGGTACACCGACTCAGCCGTCCGCCGCCACGAATTCTGGCATGCGAAAGTCGATGCGATCGGACAATCAAGCTCCTCAAAGCTCTCATCAAGCACAAGCTGCGGCTGCTGGAGGTATGAGAAAGTCTATGAGACAGAACGGCTCATCTCAATCAGGGCCTGCTCCCCAGCAACGAGCAAACTCGGCAACACTGGCCAGTCGGGATGTTCGCTCCAAGCACCTTTCTATGGACAGCAACATGTCCAGCGTAGAGATGGCGAAAGCTATGCAGGCAGCAATGCAGTCGACACCTCGTCGACGCGGGTCCGATTCCAGCGAGACCAGTTTCCGACGGTCTCGACCGAAGCAGGAAGGATTTGGCTTCCGAAAATCGATGCGATCTAACGGAGAGGTCGAGCAGGCTGCAGCTGGTAGGAACTCGCGCTTCAGCCTCCGGTCAATGTCTCCACCTGCATCGCCGTCTCAGCCACCGATCAGTATGGGCAATCGTACAACTATGCGAGGCACGCTGCGGAGTGATTCGAGCGACGGAAGCACGCGTCGCATGCGCTTGCCGTCTTTCGGTAAGTCATCTTCTAAGAAGGTGACTGGAAAACCTGGAAAGAGCCGCTTTGGCGACTCCAGCGACGAAGAAGATGCTGGGCCTTCTGGATTCCGCAGCCGATTTGTCGACTCTAGTGACGAAGATGAAAAGACAGCGCCTGCACCCGCGCCACACAACATGCCCAAGAGTATGCGCGCATCAAGCTCTGCTGCGGCGGCTGCAATGAAGGTTCCTCCTCCGCGATACGACGAAAAGGCAGAAGATTCTCCCGACCTGCCTGACAGCAGTGACGAGGAGGCGCCACCGCCGCCTGTTTTGCAGAAGCCTCAATTATCTCCGAGGAAGGTTTCTGGCGCTAGCGGCCGCCTGGTGAAGTCTCAATTGGACGGCCAGGGTTTGCCGTCTTCCGGATCTCCTCGTGGAGGGCTTACGGAGTCATCCACAGCTCCTGCTGTTAGTACCAGACCGAATCACGAACGCAGAGGCAGCTTCCTCTCTATCCTTCGGCGCAGAAAGGATTCTGATGCCGGGAAGATCTCTCGACCCGCTGCCGCCGAAAGCGGTGCCAGGATGGATACAAAACTCGAGCGCAGCGCCTCGGAAATCTCGGCTCTGCGTGGCACGAATGGGTCGAAGCTCCAGAAGCTACCCATGGAGAATTGGCCGCTCGTCGAGGAGAACTTTGACGATGAAAAGCGGCCGATGACGGCTGATAACAACAAGCCTGTGGACGCGTCCAGGCCGACGTTCATGAAGCGCAGGAGCACCAACCAGGTACTTACCTCAGGGTACCAAGAAGACCAAGTGAGCGTCCAGTTGGATTCCTCGGGCAAGAAGAAGAAGAAGTTTGGCACGCTCAGGCGGATGTTCAAGCTTGATGACTAGTCGTCTGGGGTATGCTATCTACTCGGCCTCCCCAACACTACTTACACTGGCCATCACGTAGGCCCTCATTCTCAATTTTGTTGAAATTTTCCTCTTTTTTGGCATACGACCCCCAAAGAAAGTTTGGTCGCTCAGCACCTTTCACTTTAACTTAATAATGACCCAGCTCGTCTACCCCAAGAAGCGGACTGGCTTGCTCACTCTTTTTTTCTTACATTCAAAAGTCACAAGTGGGAGCGGGCGTTTTGAAGGAGGCTTCTGGCATAGAGCATGTGCAAAAAAGGAGTCAACCAACTACTGCTTCCGTACCACAACACACACGCATGTTACAACACATACTTGCAACAAACCTTTACTTTTCTTTCATTATTTGTACGCGTATGAGAAGAGCGCCGCTTTACGAGAAGCGAGTTCTCTTCTTCAAGGACGATGGAAAACATGATTTGGGGACACGGGGAGGAGGAGTGCCACACACATACCACTCGATGGCAACGAAACGAGGGTGGAAGAGAACGGGATATGTACAAGCACCGGGGACTTGATTTCTTTTTGGTAGTTTTTTTTTTGTCTATCATGATACCAAACAGTAACTACGGGGTATGGTTCGAATGCAGAGATGTGTGTTTTCTCATCACAACAATGATCTTGTCTAGAGGCGGTGATCCGTTTTGTTCCTTGTAACGTGCTGTGATGAGGGGTGTTGTGATGGACACCCCCGAGTTGAATGCCAACGGAAATATATTCAACATCAAGTCAATGGCACTTCCGCCGAAGTCCACACGAGAGCTACCTAGGTGTTGTCATCTCGTTGGAAATAAGAAATCGGATGCCTCCCCAACCCCCCCCCCCCCCGTCCTTGGAGGCGACGCATCTTCGTCAAGTATGGATGAGAGTTTGCATGATGTATCGATAAAGATTGGTGTCTCCATATCCAAGGGGAAAATAGCAGGCCAGGTTCTACTCGACAGTCCCTTCACTGGAATGAGGAAAGATCCGGCGTACTAGATTCCCAGACGTGATGTTGGAAGTCGATGACTCCTGGTGTTTTGGTCATGTTATCTTTCCCTTTCCCCAACCTGACTAGAGCTCGAATTCCAAAAGAGTAACAAGAGAGCGAAGAAACGGGATTCTAGCAGTACTGCCTAGATGGCAGCTATCCATGTGGTAAACAGCCATTAGTCCAGGTCTCACCGTTCTCGTTGGTCAGTCTTCTGCCTCCTTTCCTCCGAGGTCCAAGCGGAAGAGCTGAGTTTGGAGCTCACACCCACCCTCCTACCACGATGCCTCGGCCGTAGGAACTGCAACCTCAACGTCGAGCGTGGACCTTCCTCAATCTTACGGGTGCCCCTCCATCTCCTCGGTCGTAGAGTGTAAGACTCAGGTCCTCTCCGCTCTGCCAACTGCTCAGCTGACACCCATCCGAGAACTTCGGCAGAGAGCGAGAGCTTCGGGAGAGAGCCACCTGGGAAAAGAATCTCCCACGAGGCAAGTGGCATTCGAGAAGCCGAGGATGCAAAGCACTTGTTCGGCTCATCTTCCTCCTCGCCTCTCCCCCTTCCCGAAGACACTTGCCGGTGGTGCGTCGATCGATCCGGAACGCACAAAAGGTACGTTGCGGACTCGGTCCCTACTGAGGAAGCCGAGCCCAAAGTTCCCAACCAGAAGCAAAGACATCCGTAGCTGCCTGGAACCTTTATTTCCCCATGGGCCATGAAGAGAAGACCGTTCTTGACAGACGCGCTAGAAAACGGTCCGTCATCAACGGCCTTCGGGGGCTCGCGCTTGCGAGAGAGATTGCTGCGCACAATAGCATTGTAACATTTCCATCGCCCTAAACCCCCGTCCGTCCCCCCTGTCAGACGAGTGCTTCGAGAAGGAATCCAAACAACGTCATGGCGGACGATACCCCAGAGTCCAAGCGGGCCTTGACGATTCATGGCTCACCCCCCTCATCGGTGAAGTGTTAGCTTTACAGTCGGTGAGCGGCTTCGGGAGTAGTCATTGGCGCAGTGATTTAAACCATCGTCCCACTCAATTACACGTCGTTGAATGGGGCCCGCCTGGCTACGAAGTTGACTTGGCCTTTCATGCCATCGCGTATCGTCCGTCGGCTGGAAAAAGGCGGAGAAAAGAGACTATGTGTCCCAACGCTGTGCCTGCATCAGGCGGGCGTGTCGAAATTCGACTTCGTTAGCGTTACGTAGCGCAATGCTACTATTTGACAATGGTGTCAGGGAACTTCGGCTGTTGTCATTTTTTACCTCATTCGGTGGTGCAAAAGTTCGTCTTTGGCTGGGTCAATGTCTTCCCACGAAACGACCAACATGGGATGGGCTTGCCAGACGGGGAAATGAGGCGACAAAAGAGGTGATCTTCGTCCTCCACCATGGTGTCGCGTGTGAGTGAGACGGGAACAGCGTTTCCACTCCCCCGAAAGTAGCAGCGGCTGGCGGTTGTGTTCGGACTCTTCATCAAGTGATTAGCCAATGGCTCCATGTATGGTTGTTCTGGGGAGGAGCTGTGGTGTCGCAAGGTCGCGGCACCTGGTCACACGACGTGGTTCTCGGATGCTCCCCCGCATTGAATGAGATCAGAAGACCACGGGGACAAGGGGAAGTTGGGGAACGGAACGGGACCGCGAGGTCGGGAAAAGCAAGCTGCCCGGTCCGATATTGGTTCCCCAGACTTTTTGTCTTAGCTACTCGGGCAGCGAGGCACAATAAGGGGCTGCAAAGTGCTTACCACGACAAGTCTTTTTGCATATGTAGTCTGGTAATTGAATTTTCGCAGAGAGGCCCAAAATGCGGGCGAATGGAGCTCGCTGCAAACGATTTTTTTCACTTCTCTCCCCTTTGTCACCTACACACTTTCGATCCTCCGCAAAGATGGACCTTGCGCCGGAAGCCGCTCCAGAGTCCCGCCAGTTGTCAGAAATATCGACTCATGGCTGATGACAAGGTAGCGAGCGGTGAGAACACCGAGGACTTATCGGTGAACGGTTCGCCTCAAACGTCGAAGAACCATGACTGATACCCTGGAGTTTGGTGCACATTGTCTCGGCCAGCGCGAGGTTTGGACCAGTGGGAGATGCGCCGGCTCGCACGCGACCGAAATGATGGATTGCTGTGGCACCAGACAGCTCTATGGTAACTTTGCTGGGGATAATCGTCCCTTGTCAATGCCCTGGCAGACTGGGATACAGGGTATAGAAAGCCAAGTGAGGCACACCAAATCGAGACGGCGGCCGGAAATCGTCCCAACAAGATGGCCGGCGGGCTTGCTTCGGGATGGAAGGTTGACCGGAAGACGCAGTTGACACAGCACATTCAGGGCAGTGCTACGGATACATAGCCCCCAAATCACCGACACCAGCATGTCGACCTCCGTCCCGGGCCAAGGTATCCGTAAGCATCGTCTCTCTTTCTGCCTGGCTGTCGCAAGCCGTAAAAAGCCGTGGCCAGGGGGTGATTTTGGGGCTCTTGTGACACCCGCACGAATGGCTGTTGGACTCGGCCGGTTCCTATCTGTCAATTCAGAATTAGAGAACAGGCAATCGATGAGTAGCGCAACTGGCAATTAAGCTGGGCCAGGGCTGGGGTTTGGGTGTGGCAGGTGGATGGTTGCCGGTTCCCAACTCCCAGGGGCGAACACCACCAGAGACGGACCAACTCACCAAGCCAAGGCACACACCAATTTGTTCTAGAACGCCATTTTCTGGGGACGTGGGGGCCGTATCCTTGCTGGGGTTATTTTCGCGGTTTAATCCCGGTGCGACACGCCAGTGCCCTACTACGAGGGTGTATTTGTGGACAGTAGGTGTCAAGAGAGCTCAATACACACTGTAAGGTGACTGCTGCATGTCTAGTCGGTTCGTCACTCAAAGTGATGGATTATGGTGGCGAGCTGTGTCCGGTGAGTGTTGCCTCGCAGTGAGGGCGAGGTCGCTCAGATGGCGCCTCGTGAATATCATCTGCCAGTCGCCGGAAACGTGGTTATCGAAGGCCGTGTCCGATACTGTCCATACGCAGTAATGCCGTCCAGATCGCTCTTGGACGGATACAGTGGCCAAGCTGCGTCGCCAGTACTTGCTGGGGAGACGAGACTGGGTGTGTGCGGTCCAAGCAGCTTGACGGAAATAAACAGGCGCAGGTTGCTGGTCGTAGTCGGGACGGCGCAGACAGTCCCAGTCTCGTCACAGGCGGGTGTGCGGCGGAAACATGGGTGGGCCCGAAGACGATGAGATATGTGATCTCGTGGATGGCAGATGGAGAAGTTGATAGAGAAACAGATGTCTTGGTCTAGAGCCTGATGGACCGAGGCATGTGCCCGATCCCTGATGTTGATGTGTCGACTTTTTTAAGCTCTTGAACGCGCATGAAGTGCGGACAAGAGGAGAAGGGGAGAGGGAGAGGAGAGAAAAGCACATGCAGAAAAGGGAGGTGCTGGTAACTGTGGTGGTTGCTCTGGTTGTGGTTGCTGTTTCGAGGAGGTACTTTTGGTGAAGGTTTTCTCACACTGCACCGCCGGCAAAAGTTGACACAAGCTCAAGTACCCAATGTGCTGAGGACCCTCCCTGCCTTGGGTACCTACGGACACCTTGATTGCGGAACGGAACTAACGTCAGGTAACCTCCATCTACGACGGTGAGGCCGTGAACTAAGGTAGGAAGGCGGACGACGGACAGACATACTTCGTACACACAGAGAAGCAACAGCCCATGGACAGCAGTCAGTAGGAGCATACGGAGCAGGCCCAAGTCACACCTGAATGGTGCGTAAGGAGCCTCGTGTAGCTTATCTTTACCTCCCTATGCTCCATCAGTGCACATCCCCCGGTGGCGGTCTTTCACCGACCTTACCTCTACTTCAAGATCAAGGTACCTTGGGTTGAGGTGGGTTGAAGTGTACTGGAATGCGCCGTTTGTTCCCGTTTTGCCGTTTTCCCACCTCGCCCTGCACCCCTCCCAGCAGTTGTACCGGGTTCTACGAGGACCTAGAGCATCGTCCGTACCGGTACAGTATGAGGTATCTATACCCAGTGACACTTTTCCAAACGGTATTTCCACAGAAGAAAAATGGAACAAGGGGGGAATAGCAATCAACCATCGAGTCCACTTGGGAAATCACAGAAAAATCCCAGCATGCAGGTAATGTCCCGCTGCCTGTCACCTCGTCTAAAAAAAAAAAAAAGACCCCCGCCAGGGAGTCCAGTCGCAGTGTCTCGGCCCCCTTAAAGACTATCTTACAATGGCTGTTGATATGAAGTATATGTCAAGGTACCAATATTAGTACTCTCCAGTCCGAAGCCTATCTACAGGTACAACAGAGGCTCCGCACGCAAAAAGCTACACTCTGCGCCGTATAGGCCCAGGGCCCAGGCCATGCATGCAGTTCATATTTCATCCGAGAGAGTAGCATGAACGAAAACAATGGCAGGGGAGTCTGAAGTGCCTCCATCCGTTCGTGCTCGAGGTTATTTTGAGTTGTGTGGTTGTGCCGAGGCAGTTGCGCCCTTCCCTTCTGCTCAATGTCCAATATCCAATGTTAAGTACCTTATTCGATGGAGAGCAAGTGCCCAGACTCAGTCATCTCTTGTCCTGTCTTTACTACTGCCTCCACTTGGAACCGAGCAAAGTACATACTGTGAGGTATATGCAGAGCCAATCCTTCACTTGCCATATGCAGCGTTCCTGTTCCTGCTTGACCCCCTCCGTCCTGATCCATGCTTAAGTGCCCAACTCCAACTTCACTTGCTCCTGGGGACTGGGAGTGAAGTGCCTGTTCCTGTGGCCCACTAAAGCTTAGACTTCCATGTGCTCTGCTGGCTCCACGAGGGTTTAATGGACGCAATAGACGCCTCTTTGCCCAGGTTGCCCGAGTCTGCAACTGGCAGTACCTTAGCAGGGAGTTGTCGAGAACATGAGGCGTCTCACTAAACCATGAACCATAAGCCCTTTACCTTGCTACCTGTCTCTGTACCTTGCACAGTAAGTATGTAGATAGGAGTAGTAGAGAAGAGCTCGTCACTCTCCTCCTTGCTCTTAGTCCTCCCATCCCCGCCAGTGTCAGACCCAACAGGAGCCAGTCGGGACGGAGCCATCGCAAGCACCAGCGCCAGCCCAAGCAGAGTCGGACGGAGACTTGTAGGGGGATGGGAACCACACTCTCACAGCCCTGAACCGTGGACGCCTGATGTTCTTGACTAGTGCTAAGAGCGGGCACCCAGACTTTTCTTCCAGCCAGGGCACCTCACCTCACCCACCTCACGCGTCCATTCTGACAGTCTTCCTACCTTAGCTCCTACCCGTACGGAGTACATACACTACTTTACGGATACTGGTACCACCAAATATTCTAGCCCCAAGCCAGGTACATACGATAACACCTCCTCCCGTACTGGCCCCGAACCGCCCACACACACACACACTGACACGCTGAATAGGCACTCGTGGCACTGCGACTGTGAATGTGGTCCAAGTCAGGCCAGGTACTTCGAGCTTAGAGCCTCTCAAGTTCCCCTTCCAGGGCCCATTTCTTCCCTCGCCGTCTCCGTCTTTGGACTCTCTTCCCTGGCAAGCCCCCTTCTCTCCCCTTTTCCCCCTTCTGCCGCCTGTCCGCCTATCTTTTGTTCTCAGGGCAATGTAAGGCGCGGCACCGTAATTCCAGCCATCCAGGGTACATTTACCATGCCTTAACCCCCGACTGGCCCTTCCCAACTTTGGAAGTCACATCTGAGTCGGAAGCATTCCAATTTTTTTCTTTGCGCGTGCTCCATCCACGCCATCTCCCCTCATCCTCCTCCGCTTTCCGACCTTTCTCTCAACCAGTGCCATTTCTTTCTCTCTCATTCGGCATCAACAACAAAACAAGACAAACGCCTTGACGCTCGCCAGAGACCTAGAGCATAGACTCACAGTTGCTCTGCTCAGAACAAACAGTCCATTGGGCGGCCCCGAGAACACGAATTCGATACGTGTGGCTCCCTCTGTCTGTCGACCTAGCTTCCTAGCAAAGTTCTCCTTCAACTTTGCCTACGTTACCATCCGCGGCTTGCAGTCTCTATTGCCGGGCCCTTGGCCCTACTTCACTTCACCTTGCCCGCTCTCATTCGGGCTTGGAGGCTCAAAGCAAAGGCACCGTACCTCATTCTCCCGTATCTTACCGGTCGTCTCATCTCGTCATCGTCATCCAACGGCTGTTTGGGTTCGTCTTTCTTTTCCACCGGCATCCCCCCCGGAGCCATACACGCGTTCCGTACACCTCTCATTTTCGTTGACAAACGGATGGGCTACTGCCCGTATCACAACTACTCCGCCATACCGTACCGTCCTCTCTTAACTCTGTTCCTCTTAATGCCCTCTCACTCTCCACAACCCGACGACAAATCGAACCCGACCAAAACCCGCAATCCATGAAAACGGCCATTTAGGGTCAACCAACCCACAGCAGCCCGGGGCTTACCGCTTCATTCTTCACTCTCTCCAATTCTTGATACACTTCTCATCACCGCCTTTCTCAACAAATCAGCTGTCTGCCACACGCGCAGACAACAGCAAACCAAATAGCCAACCCAAGTTGCAGATTGCCTCTCACTTGCAGCTCTCTGCATTTTGTTTGCGTTCCTACAAATCGGCCACTGAGCAAACCACATCCCGACCACATCCGACTGAATCGTAGAGCAACGACCATGACCACCTCTCCTCGCTCCAGGTAAACTCACATCGCACTCAGCAAGATTGCCCTACACGGCGGGGCTATCTTTGCCAATCAGCGCTACTTCCGCGTACCCTCTACTTCTGTCATTCTAGTTTCCAGCCGTCTTTGCCGTTGACCGTCTGGTCTCGGTGAAGAACACATTCGCTTCAAATGGATTTGCCAAAGGGACTCGTCAAAGACGACAGGCGGATATACGAAGATGTTGCAGCGCTCACGCAGCCTCTACCGCCGGATTTCATCATAAGAATGTGGCGTCGTAAGTCAACAGCCGCTCGGAGTGTGCTTTCACATGAAAATCTAACGTCACGTCATAGTCTACACCACAACAAATCTCAAACTTGTTGATCCAACCGCACGCCGCTTGGAAAATCTGTGGTGGCATGTCATGGGCAGCGATAGAAGCAAATTGAAAGCTGCGACCGTGGCCAAGATATGGGAACACATCTCCTATGGTCCAACCTTTGTGCCTCTCAAAGGCTCGCCGAACCGCTGGGAGGGACCTTCGGTATTTAAATGCCTCGCTCGGTACGAATTGGCACTTTGCTAACGTTATGTCCAGACGCCTCGTTTTAATAGCCAGCATGAGTCTGATCCGGTTCTCAGCGCTCAGCAAATGAACCAAGACATTAAGATGATCTCTGAACAGTCGGCTCTGAAGGAGTTGTCCGCCTCATCATCTCGACCCCCGCCACCACACCCGATTCTCAAGAAGCATAGGGGTGACTCGAAATCTGGTCCTCGGCCGACAGCCCGATTTGTGTCGCCTCACGAGTCTGCTGATGAAGACTACCAAACTAGTGATGAGACGTCGTCGGGAAGCACAGGCGCCAGTGGCCTAGAAATGCGCACTTCATCAACAGTCTCCCCAGCAAAATCGAGCAAGAAGAAGCCCTCAACACCAACGAAACGATTTGTTGCATCAGCGTCGGGTAAGAGAAGACCGGTTCTGCCAAGGAGAATGAGCTCGCAGTCGTCAACAAACTCCGACGTTGGGATCAAGGAGCCCGGTTCTGCCAACGGAGGCAAACACGTGGGAACTTATAACGTGATGCATCCTCATGCCGAAGAAAGTGCTATCCTGAGCGTATCCGGGTCAGAGGGATTCGAAATGCCGCCACCTAGCGCCAAAGCCCTGGGGAAACGACCAGTCGAAAGATCTATTTCGGAATCTCCGAGATCGGTGGGCAATTCCCGACCTACTGAAGAACGGCGGAAACCGGTGCTTGTACAAACAGCAAACCGCGCGCCAGCACCAGAGCCCTTGAGCAAATCCGCAACCGACCGGTCGAGTCGCGAAGCTGGCACGGTCAAAGCCGGTGGTCCCAGGACGCCTACGTATATACCAGCCGCATCACCCGCGCTCTCATCACCAAGAATCGGGTCATTCTCTTCAGCACGTTCCGGCTTTTCGGCGCCGCGTATGGAGCGGGCACCGTCGAATTCCGAGTCCTATCGACCGAGGGAGGCTAGCTTTGGTCGTGGTTCTGCGCAGGGGCTCATATCGAGCGCTACCGCGAGTACGTCGAACATTGCAGCCATGGGGCAGGTGACGATATCTGGTGAGCCGGATCGACGCGCTCTGGAAACCTTGGAAGGCTTTCAGGACGAATCTGGACCCAGGGGCAACCCACGCCGAATTTCCTCCTCATCGCACTTCGCGCCGACAATGCCAAGCTCTACTCCCGATGTGCCACTAGCAAGAACAAGAAGCCAGCTGACGCTACTGCTGGAGCGCGAGAAAGAGCGCACTGGGGATAGGCCAAGACACAGGTCGTGATCCCGACAACCAAAAGAAAAAAAAAGTCTACTTTCATGACTCACATACAATCCTATGTACTAATTCGCGAGGTATCAACTGCATTAAAAGGGGCTTCTGGAGTTCATGGAACACAAAACGGGTGCAGTCATTCGGAAGTGGATGTCTTGCTTTCGACTGAGGTTGCCGCTACTGGTAGTTGCGTCTGCCACTGGCAATACCGACCTCATTGCCTTTTTTTCCTTTATTCTTTTCATCAGCTCGACGAGGCCGGCCTTTAGGAAGAAGGTTTGGCGCATTTGCATCGCACGAGGCGTTTTCATTACCGGCGGTCACGGGGCCCCTTTCGCAGGGAAAACGCCTGACATGCATTACAGGAGGGGACTGCCACCAAAAAGGGTTCATTGTATGCGTTCACAGCGGTTCAACGGGCAGCGGCGGGATCATTTGAAGTTCGAAAAGAGGAAAGACGAACGGCTTGCTCTTGGTGCGCCATCATTTTGTCAGCGACCCACCGAGCTCTTACTAGCGAGCCATTCTGAATGAGAAGATATTTGTTACCCAACCACCTAACTGACCAGATCATCCATTAAGAAACAGAGATAGGTAGGCGAGTGAAGGCAATGTGGCCATCAAAAAGACGAGTGCGTATTGCCCGGGCTGAAACATGACAGGGGATGACGAGCTTAGGTCCAAGGAGGATCTAAACTGCTTTCTCTCCGGACTTGCTCACTCGGCTTACTCTGACTCCACAGCATCGGTCGTAATTCTAGCTAAGGCTATTGTACAGTCCCCCGATGGGAATCTGACTCGATGATCAGGCTCTAGGAAGTCTCTTGACTGTGAGCTCTCTACCAAAAGGTAGTAGTGAATTGCCTAGTTGTGAGGGGTAGGCCATAGAGGATCCGTCAAAAAGGAGGGGAGGTGGCCAAAGACGAGGAAAAAGCAAAATCGCAACTGATCACGAGGTCAATTGTCTGGGACAAGGGAGGGGGGGTCCGACTTGGAAGCGTGAGATGGCGTCGATATCGCAACCTGGAAAGCCATTACGCAATCCGAAATAAGGGGTCTCTTGCTTGTGTACGATGAGAGAGGTCCCCCTCCAAGGCTCCAATCACCCTATCAAGGGAAGAGTGAGAGTGATCTGCAGGCTTTTTTGATGGTAAGCGACTTCTTCTCAAAGATTACCCCGTGGCAAGACTGGGGTTGTCTGTGAAGATCACTCCGTCCGTCGGATATCACTGGAGAGAGTTGAAGGTAACAAGTATCCGTACACCTAGGCCCCCCCCTCCGCCTCCCCACTTCCCTCCCCCCACGCCTTGGCCACGCGGACCTGCCGTGTCGAGCGCGAGGGGCAACGACAGGTCGGAATGGGTGGTGGGTGTGGAAGGAGGAGCAGAAGCTGTCGAAGCTACCCTGGAGCTTCTCTGTTGACAGGGGGGTAGCTGTGCGGGGTAGGTATACACAACCTTAGAGGGGGAGGAGGGAGCTCAGAGGTTTGGGGGCAACGCGGTTGTGGGTTGTATTAGCCGTTGGAAGCCGCTCGCTTACTAAGGTAAGGTAAGTTGTGTGTACTCTTCCCATCGTCCCCCCACGTCTGTAATTACCTTACTACCCGGGAATCCTGTCACGCAAATTTAGGCACAAAAGGAGTTGACAGGGCTTACGCAGTGATGTAGCGTTGTATCCCTATTAATAATGTACTGCCTAGGGCCCCCCTGGGCTTCCTATTTGTAGTGTCAGATTTTGCTTGAGAGAAAACTTGATACCTGCCCGGCAAGCACCATAACGACAATGAACCAGAGTGTTGACTGGTTTCCCCCACACTAGCGGGATGGGCGGCATCCACGACCATATCTTACACTACCGGTACTGTGACGACCTGCCACCCAGGTGAGATGGCAGATGGATTTTGACAAGGGAGGGGGGGACAAGAAGGACGTGGCGAGCATAAGGTGAACAAATGAGCCATACCTATAGTATGCTTATCGCTCTTCGAGGTCCTCGCCATGGCTTTCTTCCTCCTCCTCCTCCTCCTCCTCCTCCTGCTCCTCCTCCTCCGCAACGTGCGCGCTCCCCGGCACGTCTCCCACGTGCGCTGACAACGGCGCCGGGTTCGAAAAAGCATCAGGGGAGGCTACGGGATCCTTGTCTACCCTGAGTCCCCTGGAGGCCTGTATATTCCCCATGCTGTGGTCCAGAGCTTGGGTTCCATCGCGCGGTTCGTTCAGTTGAATAGGTATCCGTACTGTGAAAAAGTGTTGAGAGCTTCCTCGGTGTGATTCAGTCAGCATTGGCACGGTACTCCTTGGGTTAATGAACGAGGCGCCATGTCGACCGGAAGGATGGTTCAATAATCAAGAATCTCGTCACAAACGTTGATACTACTCTCTACCCATGCCACATACAGCCCTTGCTAGATTACTTGCTTTCCTTCCCATGTCTTTTTCATGGTGCTCAGTCCTGTCCCTGTTATTCCCCCCGTCTGCCGAGCCGGCGGGATAGTTCCTATAGTCTTCCTGCCTCTCATCACATCCGGCTCCTTGTATACTCCATGAGACCGTATCACGTTTCCATATGGATAGGTAGGCTAGGTGAGACTCAATCCTCAACGGGTCCGAAAAGAGTCTCCGTATTTTAAGCCGCTTGTCACATGTCCGCTAGACATTGACCACCAGTGCCTAACATCTGGTTTCCGTCGTTTAGCTCCCACACCTACAAAAGACTTCAAACCTCCACCAACACGAGAGCCGCGAACACGACGATAGCAGCAAACAAGTCTCTCGCCGGGGGTTAGACAAGACACATGCTGGTCTGCCTACCTGCCTGCCAGCCTGCCTGCCAACATGCCTACCTACCTGCATATAAGTACGGGGCGTACATACAGCCAGAAACCTCCGCCTTTTCGCCTATCTACCTTACCACACGCACTCCCTCCCTCGCACCGCCCAACCAAACAATCTTACTGCAAGTCGCTCAAAACCTCCAAGACAATAAAAGTTCTGGACTCTTGACCCCCCGAACGCCCGACCTTACCGTTCCCCGGTTCCCACCAACACGCCGGTGCCGTCCGTCGCACAGCATATGCTGGTTACATGACAGGCGGTGCACGAAACGCCAAATAAGACCGGTCCAGCGACCGCTCTCCCCGTCTACCTACCCATGTGCAATACCTACTCCCCCCCCCCCCCCCGCAAACGCACGGCACGGCGTTGGACCCTCGATCGTGCAGATGTTCCAGTCATTTTTCGGTGTGTCGGTGCATGTGTGTGCTTATACTGTGCGTGTGGTAGCAACGGCGGAAGGTAAGGTAGGAGGGGCATCACTGACCAGTGCCGGCCGCCATGTAGTCTTCCTTCCGGCTGTCATGCATTCGTCATGTCTACCGATACCTATAGTCTCTCATAAGGAATCATATAAGCCAACGTACTCTAATTTCTTATGGTCATCTCACTGAGAATCAGAGCGTCGGGAGTACCGAACCCCAGGCCGGCCCTCGAGACGAGGCTTCAGACAAGGCTCAAGACGAGGGTAAGAAACAGAAGGCTAGAAGTGTTAGATACGGGACGGCTCAGGATAGGGGAGACCCGGCGATATGAGAGATCGGATAACAGTCGATGGCCCGTCCGGTGACCCTATGCTGCGGGCCCCTTAACACTGCATGTCGGGGTGGTGGAATGCCTCGATCGGTGCCAACGAATGAGCCTCATCGAATACGCTGACCGGTGAAAAGCGACCTAGCTTGGCCGCCTTTCACATGCCACATCCACAGAGACTCAGTCAGCCTCTTCGAGATCTTATCGCGGATTGTTTGATCATTATCAATTTTACGATTTGTCGACGTATCAACAAATCGACCTTCTATGTTCCCATAGCAAAAACGCCAATTACTCTAGTGGAAATACACACTTTTGACATCTTTCCTCCTCTCCTTCTTCAATCCAATTCAAATCAAGGGCTCGTGGCGGCTTATGTGACGGTGTAACCGCCATCAACGCGGAGGTCCGCACCCGTGACGTAGAGAGAAGCATCAGACAGCAAGAAAGTGACGGGTCCCATAAGGTCCTTGGGCTGACCCATCTTGCCCTGAGGAATCAGAGAAGTCCACTTCTGCTTGAGGTCTGGGTTGTCGTCAAGGATCTTCTCGGTTCTGCACATGTGCGTCAGTATTGATTGCCTGGAAACAAAGAATTTGGGTATTAGACTTACAGAGCTGTGAGCATGTAGCCGGGAGAGATACAGTTGACACGAATGCCCGCACCAGCCCACTCGACAGCCAAAGAGGCAGCCAAGTGACGGACACCAGCCTTTGCGGCGTTGTAAGGTCTGTTTGAACATGTATTAGCGAATTTGATGCCTCGAAAGAAACAAGACTCGATGAAACCTACGCCTGAGGCTGGGGAATGTTGACAATGGAGCCAGACATGCTGCCGATGAAGACCATGCTTCCGGGAGCCTTGCGCTCCATGAGATGCTTGGCGACTCCGATAGCGAAGAGGTATGTGCCGTCGACGTTGACGCCCCAGAGCTTACGCATGCGCTCAATGGGGTAGTTGATGGCGTCGAAGTTCTCGGTGAAGCCGGCCGACGTGACGAGGTTGTCAATCTTGCCGTGAGCGGCGAGGATCTCAGCAATGCAGGCGTCGACAGAGGCGGGGTCTGAGACGTCTGCGTGGTGCGCAGTCACCTTGGGAACTCTATTATACGTTGTTAGGCGTCCGTCACTTCCTCTCGAGGTCAATAGGGTCATCCGAGTGCATACCTCTTGGCCTCTGGGTTTTCTCTCTTGAATGCCTCAAGCAGGTTCTTGGCTTGGAGCTCAGCCTCCTCCTCTGTCTCGGTGTCAGTACCTTGCTCTCACGGAAGTCTGAAGCTTGCTGGCAATCAGGTCGAAAACTCACTGTTCAAGTCGACGATGGCAAGGTCGCTGCCGGAGTAGACCATGCCTTGGCCCATGACCAAGCCAAGGCCGCGCGCACCGCCGGTGACGACGCCGGTGTGGCCATCGAGAGAGAAGGAAGCAAGCGTGGGCTTGCCAATGCCACCACCGTGGCCGCGGACCGGCTGACTGCTAGGCAGCTGGTCGTCTTCAGGGTACTCGACAGTGACATCGGGGTCGGTTCTCGAATACTGGCCCGGGTGAGGCTTCTCTCTGACGTTGGGGCTGCCGCTGATGGATCTAGACTGTTGCTGCTGCTTGGGGCTAGTGGTTGCAATGCTAGCTTGAGCTGCAGAGGCGGAAGACTGAGAGGATTTGCCGCGGACCTGGGTGTGTCTTGCGATGGGACGAATGGTCCGCGCCAGTCGGGCGCTAAGAGGACGGAACATTTTGAGTGTCCGCGGGTGTGAAAGTGTTACACGCGGTGTTGAAGTGTATGTACGTGAATGTTGCCGTCTGAAATAATACGACGGTCAAGATCGATTCGAGGTGCCCTTCGGAAGGAATAAAAGTGTGAAAGCGAAACAATGATGGCGTTTGTTTCGGTTTTGGAGAACCGTTGACTTTTGCAATTGACTTCAGCCGGATGATGTCACGGAATTAGTTTTTGTTGAGCGGCGACCTGGATCGAGCAGATGAAGCTAGCTGTCTCTGGCAGATGCGGAGTTGACGATCAAATCTGGCAGAGGGCTGGCAGAATTCGAGGCGCCCAAGTTTGGGCAAAAGCAACGATGAGAGGAGCTATGGTGGGGTAGATGACGTGGGACGAGCGGGAGGGTGGTGATTGACTCCTGATCGTCTGGTTGTAAGTCTGGATCGGGAAGTACGTCTCGTAATTCGGGGTCGGTTGGACTTGGTTTGTTGTATGTGAGAAGTTGGTAGATGGGAAGGGAGGGGAGGAAGAAAGTCGCGGGGAGGAAGACACTACCTTAAGGTAAGTATGGCAGAGGGGAGGAGCTTGGAACCTTGAAGAAGGCGCGGGAGGGAAGGAAGGGAGCTCCCGTTTATTATGAGTGTTGGAGCTTTCCATTGGGAAGGAAGGAACGACGGGACGGTAGGGAAGGAGGTTTAGGTAAGACATTCGTGGACACTGGCAAGTAAGGAAGGATCGTGGCGTGAGTTGATCAAGTGGTCAATTGGTTTACTTGGCAAGGGCAAACAAGGATTGGTGGTGTTGGTGGTGGTGGAAGGAATCATGGAACTTGGTAGCAGCCAAAAAGAGAAAAGGGAAAAAGTTCACGATACTTTGGGCGTATGGACGCGTCTCGCAGCTTCCCGGCCCAAAACCACGTCTCAACCGGTCAGGTCCCAAGTCGCAGGTTCCAGGCGCCGCATGTCGCAGGTCGTAGCAGGTCCGCCGCTCTCGCACTGCCTCGCGGGGAGTTGCCCCGGAACTAGGGCTGGACTCATGGAGCCCGAGCGGACATCCATGGGCCAAAATAAGGATCGCTCCATGCCACCCACCGCGCCCACCGCCCACACTAGAACCACAACCCCGGGGCGGGGGTGGGCCATTGCCCCCAAATGGCACTCTTCTAGGTGGACTGGCTCCTCCATCCCGGCATGCCCGGCTGCCGGCTACCAGGCCAGACGGGTAAGTCCCTGATTTTGTTTGCCTCTGAACTACCACCGACACTGGACGTTGCAGCGCATTCGATGATGGGTAGTATGGTACCGTGTAACCTTAAAGCTAGACTTATATACTATGCAGTCTCAATGATACATATGGACAATAACAGTGTAGATGCTGTGAGTGAATGGCCTTATGCATGAATATGCGATGTGTATGAAATCTTTATGAAAAGTACCTGACTAGAATGCCAACCACGAGCAGAACATGAGATGAGAGAAACAAGACGGAAACCCCTCAAACCCTTGTCAAGGTCTCCATGTCTCCTGCTCATCATTCCGAGCTCCCCGTGTCCCTCGTGTCCCGAAAGGGACCCTGTGGAGTCAAGGAAAGAAACAACGAGAAATCTTGACAGAGCTTGTGACCCAACATGGCCAAGAAATGTGAGGAGCTCCAACTTTTTTTCCTCCTCTCAAGAAACTTCCGGAGGTTTTTGGGGGTCCTTGGGGGCAAAACATTGGGCATCTCTCGAACGCCATTCTCCACATTTTACTCCAATTTTTCCTGCACGAGATGAGATTCTAGAATGCCATGAGATTAGGACTGGCCAAGGGTCTGGCCATCGTTGTTCATCCTCACAGACACACACTCAGTCTTACACACCTCAGACCTCAGACGCAGACCAGACAGAGAAATCCTAACCTCCGGTTCGGAGACCGCCTCGATCATGCAGCCTGTCACACCGTCACATTATCACGTTGATTGGGATGGCCATGCTGCTAGCTTGGCCCGTCATCTTGTTTACCCACTTTGTTTTTTTTTCTTTCTCTGCTGAACACGAGGTCCTCTGCATCGAGGCTGACTGACTGACCGATAGTCCGGACATCACTGCTCGCCATGCTACCCCCGTCGGGCCACCGGCTCCTAACCCCAGTCTCTAGACTACTACTTGTCAACACTGGATCGCCGAACTCGGCTCTCCGCTTGCACCTGCCGTGTAAGTTATTGAATACTTCTCTGCACGATATGCGGAGTAGAATCGTCAATACATAAGGATATTCTCTATGGGGGATAAAACCTGGTCAAGGCATCATCAATAATAGCATCGGCCGTGCTGATCCCCTTCAAAAGCACGAACAAACCAGTCCCAATCGTCGTCAGTCACCACGCCTCGAGCCAACGGAGCTAGGTACAGCAGTAAGCGTTGCGAGTCCTCCTCGTCGCTGCAACGTGCTCCATGTTGCATGAGGAATAGAGCAAATCTGGCTGTCTTTGCAAAAAGCAAGCCTCTGAGGTAAAGGTCCAACAACGTGAGATTGTCAGACTCTCTGTGCCGCCGAAACGTGACCCTAGCATTGATGTCCTCGTCCGTCAATAGCAGACGCTTGCAAATGCCTTGTGCAACAGCAAGGTTGAAGTTTGAGTCTGAAAGTCTGAGAACCTTCTCTGATATCCTCAAGACCAGCGAACTCTTTCTAGGGTCTGCCACCTTACTGCCAGCTTTGATAAGCATAGACAGCACTTCGAAGCTGCCCCTGCACAAGGCAGTGTCAATGACCTCATTCTCGTAGTTAAATTCGTAGGAGAAATCGTAGGGTCTTTCCAATGGAAGTGTCTACCACAATAGGATGTAGTGTCGTCTTAGCCTTAGACTCAGAAGAAAATACGTCCTCGACGTCGTGAATGAGACAGGCACGCAACAGCTCAGCGCCAATGCTGGGATGTCGAGCAGCATATCCAACAGCACTGGGAAAGATGTCAACATCGCGGAGAACTTTGCGATCAGAACGCAAAAGTCGATAGATGATCAAGTCCGGAACGTCCAAGTTGTCCAAGTTGTCTCGTTCCGACGGATGACCATATACCGATCTTCTCCACGGTGCCAAACTGAACATTTCCTTCATTTCGGTAATGTTGATCTCGATGTTGTCCAATACTAACTCAGCGAGCTGTCTGCTCTTGGTGCCTTTGGATACGCAGGCTTCCTCGCAAATCAGGTAGATGCCCAGCATAACTTTCCGAGATGGATCGTCTATCTGAGCGCAGGTAGGCTTGATTAGGAATCTAGCCAGCCGTACATTGGCGTTGGCGAAAGCATTGATAACTGGAATGTGAAATGCATACTCAAGATTGTTCCAATATATCTCGTTTATTTGCCTCATGACGTGAGCACCATAGCGAACGAGTAGCTCGGCAACATCGCTATGGTTATAACGTGTAGCATATGAGAGAGGTGTATCGCCGTCCTCCTCCTCTTCGTTGACGTAAGATGCGGCGTCTGGATGCTTTTCTAGCAGCGTCCGGACTATTTGAAGGAAGCCCAACCCTGAGCAGATGTGAAGAATGTTGGTTGACGGAAGTACCTCTTTTATCCTGTCATCTTCTCCTCTGTGATAGCGAGCATTGTTCTTGTGCTCGTACCACCAAACAGTACGAAATAGCGATTCCTCATGGAAGAAGATGCTGTCGGCTACCAAGAAATGGAGGGACTCCTCGCCACTTCCTCTCGTATGCCATGACTAGTAGTCTCTCGCATATCTAAGCCATCTAGTGTGGCAAGAAATAGAGGAATAGCCAACTTCGATAATAGATTCCGTCTCTTCGGCACGTTTGAACCAAATTTGGAGCTCATCGAGGCATATTTTGGCAATTTCATAGTGTGTTTTCTCTAGCTTGAAGTAGAAATCTTTGATGGCTGAATCCATGTCGATATTGGACATGTAATCAGCAATTGACCGATGTAGAGGAAGAATTATGTCCTCTTCAGCTTCACGTTCCTCATAATCCCAGCCCGCTTTCGTGATCCTCATCAGTGGATAGGATTCGCTGACGAGATCTTGTATTCTTTGGCGTTCTTCTTCAGGCTCTTCAGCGTCGGGGTGGATAAGGTCTGTCAATTCAGCCACTGTGACAGGTCTTCGGAGTAAAGCAACCCATTGAAGGATCTTGGCGGTCTCGCGGCGGGACTTATCGTCAATCTGCACAAGGAGGCGCAAAAATACGTGGCGAAGACCACATGGTATTTGATCCATCTTCTTCATCATTGCCGAAAGTGTCTTCGCTGGATAAAGATCCTCAAGCATGACATCAACCCATGAAAAAAGTCCTTCGGAACGAAGACTGAGTTCACCAGCCAATGCATCTTGAGATTCCATGTCCAGAATTCCCCAGTGTCGATGGCGCGCAAGTCTGGCCTTGATGACACATTTGAGATCATTTTTGGGGTCTTTCTTGTCAAGCGTCGGAGTCAGATGAAGGCATTCATGGAAACCTTCATTGGCAGCGCTGGATATGATGAGTTTGAAAGTGTTGAGAGTTTCTGGTTGAACCTGAGCTCCAGATGATCTTCCGAACTGCGCCTGAAAACTGCTGACAAGCCATCTACGCTCGTCTGGAGGAAAGTCGTTGAGCCCATCCAGAACACAATACACCGGACCCAGTTCGGGATCCTTTATTGTAGCAGTAAAAATAGCCCAGAGCGTGCTGCGTGATTTCAAGGTGTTCTCGGTTCTCCTTGGGGTCATGCGCTTGACAGCATATTTAGCAAGAGTTCGATGGTTGGTGAAGAGTTCATGAAGCTAGGTCCTAAGAATTGATGTCGTCGTGTTCTTCTCGGGGTACTGAGGGTTGTAAAAGTAGAACGGTACGTCCCCTGGTATACTCTGCGTGAGTTTTTCGAGTTCTTTGGTGATGAAATAGGAGAGCATCGTCTTTCCTGTACCGGGAAGACCGGATATACAGAGTATCGCCGACTGCTTGGATTCCAACCAGATCTGTAACTTTCCTCAGATCGGACCCATCTACACGTTCCTTCAACGAATCCGCCTTTTGATTCGATCAATTCCTCCAGGTCCATTTCAGGATCTGCGATGAAGAGAGCGTCGATGCATCTTGTCAGATCATCTTCCATATCCGCTCCTGTTAGCGAAATTGTCAGCATATCGATTCCTGTAATGAGCAAAGAAACGGATAAGAATCGACCTGAATTGACATGATTCATTCCAGCGACAAGAGTTGAGCCGCTGCCAACATGAATATCGCCAATTGATATCGACATGCTAGGCGATGATGGTCTGGATGGCGAGGATGAGGGCCAACGCGAGCAGGATCGAGTCGAGGCAAAACGCGGAAGGGATTTCAGCCCCTTTGTGGTAGAATTTGCTCAGAAATCTTTGGGAAGTTGGGAAGAAAGAATGGTGAAGGTAAAGGTGAAGGATCCCATGACCGGAACACTGGGGTCCCACAGGCAGACGGTCCATCTGCTCTAGGGCTTTCTTATGTGGGATTACCAAAGACCAGTAAGGCATCTATGATGCAAGATGTAATCAGGTGATTCAATGCACCTCTTCTTGAGCCAAAGAAACAGTGTTGCCCCTTTGTCACAGTCCAAAATCGAGGTATCTGCCTGCCTGTTTTCTGGGAGCTGGCAATCAAAAGGGGATGACACCGCCGCCGTCTAGAATCTAGAGGCGTCACTTCTGTATCTCCTCATCACTATCACAAATCACTATCAGTTGATCCGAATACACTGCAAGATAGCTCAAACATGGCTGAAGTCCTCGCAACCTCAAGTGCCGTCGTCGCCCTGACAGCCACAACTGTGCAGAGCATCAAGGGAGCAAGAGAGAAGATTGACAAAATCACGCGAGCCCCTGAGCTCATCGCCAACATCAAAAAGGAGTCGCAACTTATCCAGAATCTGATGGAGCACCTCGAGATCTCGGTTAAGTTAAACGACACTGAAGTACTGTCCGTCGCCGCAAACACCAACGTGCAATCCGCTCCCACGGCCTGCGGCGCCTCATGTTGTGCCTTGGACAACGAGGTCGACAAGCTTTTCAAGCGCTCGAAAGACGGACGGGTTCACTTGATGGACAGAGTGAACATCGGACTATTTGGCAAAGACAAGCTCCAGATTTCCGTGGACGAGCTCAGAATTTGCAAGCAGACTGTTGACTTGGCTTTAGCCGGCGCCAACTTGTGAGTCATGTATCACGATCATTCAGTTTTGATAGCATATCTGATTTCCCTCGCAGTTTGGCATCTATTGAGCAGACCAAGTACCTTCAAGCTATCGTGGAACGAATTGAGGTCAAGAGTGGAGATGTACACTCCGAAACCAAGCTCCAGAAGTCGAGGGACTTGATCAAGGGGTACGAGGAGCTTCAAGCATCCCTGTTTGTCCAGGTCAATGAGAGACGAAGCAAGTTGGTGGTGGGCAAAGTCAAGGTCTTGGAGTCGCAGGCCGTCATCGGAATCCACGGCGCGGACGGGACTGACGGGGAGCTGAATGTCCAGCTTGGCAACGTTGAAGGCCAAGGATCCAACATGCTGGTGGGATACTCCAAAGGTATTGACCTGAACGCTGCCTTTTTCAAGAAAGACAACTAGTTCGTAAGTCCATGATTCACAGAGTGATGTCACTGCGATGTGACAGACGAACACTCAAAAGACAGGAATGGAGATGTAGATTTGGATGTAGAGGAAGAAGCCAGATGGAGACAATTTTTTGCAACACAAATACCTCCAGACTGTGAACTTGGTACTTCCCGATTCTCTGTGGTGGCAACCTAATAGAAGAAATTTACCATTGGAATTCTACATGCTTTTGCGGTGACATCAAAGGTCCCGTCTTGATTCTTTGCTCCTGAGATCCCAAAGTGGCTCGCTCGTTGTTCTTTATATCCATGCTACTTGTATGTTAATCACCCCAGGTGGGCATATTCCTTGTTGAAAGCCCTTCCAATGACCATTCTCCGGATTTCCGAAGTTCCGGCACCAATCTCATACAATTTCGCACTGATGACAGTTAGTACAGAAGAGCCGGAGGGACTTTTGGGCTTGACTTACTCTCTCAACAGCCTCGAAGCTGGCATTTCCTCGACATAGCCCATGCCGCCGAGAAGCTGGATGCTGTCCAAAGTGCACTCTGTCGCCCTCTCGGCAGCATACAAGATGGCGCCGGCACAGTCCTGTGTCTTGATGATCCCCTCCTCATCAACAGCCTTGGCCGTGGCGTATGTGTATGCACGGGAGGCCTGTAGCTTCGTGTACATGTCTGCCAGCTTGCCCTGGATGAACTGGTTCTGAGCGATAGGGATGCCAAACTGCTTCCGCTGGTGGGTAAAGGGCAGAGCGACGTCCAGCGCGGCCTGCATGATGCCCAAAGGTCCGGCGCTAAGAACGAGACGCTCCAGGTCCAAACCCTCCATCAGAACTCTCACACCACCGTTGATCTTGCCGAGGATGTTCTCCTTGGGCACGAAGACGGAGTCAAAGTTGAGCTCGCCAGTGTTGCTTCCGCGCATACCCATCTTGTCGAGCTTCCTCGCGCAGCTGAAGCCCTTGGTCTTGGTCTCGACAAGGAACGCCGTGACGCCCTTGGAACCCTTCTCGGGCTCTGTCTTTGCGTAAACGACGATGACGTCGGCGTCGGGACCGTTGGTGATCCACATTTTGGAGCCGTTCAGGACGTAGCCACCATCGACGGCCGTCGCTGTCGTCCTCATGCTCACGACATCGCTGCCGGCCCCAGACTCGGACATTGCGAGGGCGCCGACGCTCGTGCCGGCAATCAGGCCGGGAAGGTACTTCTGCTTCTGCTCCGGAGAACCGTTGAGCTGGAGCTGGTTGACGCATAGTTGGGAGTGGGCGGCATAGCTGAGACCAATTGAGCCAGAGGCACGCGAGATCTCTTCCATGACGACGCAATGCGCCTGGTAGCCCATGGCCAGACCACCAACGTCTTCATCGGCAGTCATGCCCAGGAAACCAGCCTCGCCCAGCTTTTGCCACATCTCATTGGGGAAGGCATTGCTCTTGTCCGTGTTCGCGGCAACTTCCTCTGTGATCTCGCGCCTTGTGAACTCCTGCACGCGCTCGCGCAGCTCGGTAAGATCGGCTTGTGACGGTGCTTCAAATCCCTTGGGATGCTTAGAGGAGTGGTGTCGGATCTGAAGGGCGGGGGCCGCGAGGGGTCGCAATTGACGCGCTGGCCGCGCCAGCGATCTGAATGCTCTAACACTTGACATGGCTGTAGATTGTACAACAAAATCGAGAATGAAATAAGTTGAAAAGAGAGGAAATGAAGAACAACAATCTCTCCTACGATTGATGATCCAAGTTACCTTGGCTTGATGCCGAGCTGGAGGTCCAACCGGGACAAGAAGGTGCTCGGCTACGGGCGGCTTTCAGCGGGCCGAGGTGAGCGTTTGGACGTCACTGGAATGGTATCCCGTCAGCAAGCGAGCGGCCCTCGAACCTCTCCTTCCCGTCTTCAAGGGCTTCGTCGGCACATGTAGTGCTCCTCCTTCATACTCTCAAACTGTCGCACCCTTAGGATCTTCCTTTGTAAACGTCCAAAATATGTCTTTCTCACGGTCATCGAGAGATGTGATGCTTCTGTCGCGTCAATTGACCCGGCCGGGGTTCAGGGCACCCCGCCTCCCGCGATCCGCCCGTACCGTTGCGACCTTCACGCCGCCGCACCAGGCGAGCGCCATCTCCCGAATCCAGACCAATGTCGATCCGACGTCCGAGGAGTACAAGGAGAACGAGAAGCACATGGGGGAGGTGATGAAGAAGATGCAGGATTTGACACGCAAGGTGCACCTGGGTGGCTCAGCAAAGGCGAGGGAAAAGCACCTGGCGAGAAAGAAGATGCTGCCGCGTGACCGAGTTACTGCCTTGATCGACCCTGGCACGACATTCTTGGAGTTGTCGCCGCTGGCCGCCCACGAGCTTTACCCCGAGGCTGATGTTCCCGCAGGCGGCATCATCACAGGTGTTGGTGTCGTCGAGGGCGTTACGTGTGTGATCGTGGCCAACGACAGCACAGTAAAGGGCGGAACGTACTATCCGATTACCGTCAAGAAGCATCTGAGAGCACAAGCCGTGGCTCAGGAGAACAAGCTGCCGTAGGAACCCCATGACTTACACGCCTCGGCCAAATCTTACTAAGACTGACGATGACACAGTTGTATCTACTTGGTCGATAGCGGCGGTGCCAACCTCCCACACCAGGCGGACGTGTTTCCGGATCGCGACCACTTTGGGCGCATCTTCTACAACCAAGCAAGGATGAGCTCCATGGGGATTCCCCAGATTTCGGTCGTAATGGGTCCGTGCACTGCGGGTGGTGCTTATGTTCCGGCAATGAGCGACGAGAGCATCATCGTTGAGAACCAGGGCCACATTTTCCTCGCTGGTCCGCCGCTAGTCAAGGCTGCCACTGGCGAGGTGATTAGTGCGGAGGAGTTGGGCGGCGGCAAGATGCACTCCTCTGTCTCAGGAGTTACAGACTACTTGGCGGTCGACGATGCTCATGCTATTACACTTGCGAGGCGGAGCATCAGCAACCTGAACTGGCCTACAAAATCACCTTCAACAGCGGCACCCGTGAAGGATTATGCCGAGCCTCTATACTCGCCGGACGAACTTCTGGGTATCGCCAGTACCAACCTCCGGAAGCCCCTGCCCATCAAGGAGGTTATTGCTCGCATTGTCGACGGCTCCGAATTCTCTGAGTTCAAGCGCGACTTCGGTTCAACCTTGGTCACCGGATTTGCTCATATCCATGGCTGCAAGGTTGGTATTGTGGCCAACGATGGAATTCTGTTTGCCGAATCTTCTGTGAAGGGCGCACACTTCATTGAGCTGTGTGCTCAACGAGGCATTCCGCTAGTCTTCCTACAGAACATCTCCGGCTTCATGGTCGGCTCCGCCGCCGAGCGTGGTGGCATCGCCAAGCACGGCGCAAAGCTTGTCACTGCTGTCGCATGCGCCGATGTTCCCAAGTTTACCGTCGTTGTCGGAGGTAGTTATGGTGCCGGCAACTACGGCATGTGCGGGCGAGCTTACAGCCCCCGTTTCCTGTGGATGTGGCCGAACTCACGCATTGGTGTCATGGGCGGTGAGCAGCTGGCTGCTGTTATGGAGACTGTGGGCAAGGCCGATCCCGAGTTAAAGGAGAGGATAGAACGGGAAAGCGACGCAACGTACTCGTCAGCCAGATTATGGGTCAGTCATTACCATTTACACGTCATACACTTTTTGCTAACCATGCTCATAGGATGATGGCATTATTCCTCCCCAGCACACCCGTCAATATTTGGGCCTAGGCCTTAGAGCAGCCATGTCAGGCCGGAATGAAGTCAAGGCTGGTGATACCAAGTTTGGCGTGTTCCGAATGTAAAGAAGGTAGATTTTGGTCATTTAGAAAAGGGAGCGCAAAACAAGCCATTTACTGTCATTTCGTTGTGAGAATCGACAGCCCTCTATAAAGTGTGCCCTAAGTTTGGCGATATGCTCGGTAGCAGTTGGTAAGTATTCTTCATCATTCATCCACCTTATAGTAAGAACGTATGTTGACCGATGACCGATTGCCGATAAAAAGACCACAAACGAGCCATCAAGCCCATCTCACTTGCAATAGCTTACGTTTTATTAAGTGCCTAAGCTGGTTGACGAGGTTCTAGGTTCATCCGGGTGCCTTGCATGCATTCCCGCCGTTGCACTCAACGGCGTAGTGGAGAACTTTATTCGGGGCCCTGGAAGGAAGATGGCAATTTGGCAGACGGTGAAATTTCCCACTCAAATTCGCAAAACTCGCATCTTTCACGAAAGGAAACTCCCCGGCCGGAGCAGACTGCCAAACAGAGACAGATTTGGCAGCATACGGAGAAGGTTTCTGCAACAGATCGGGAAAGAGCCAATCGCACGGAGCTCTCTCCGGAGACCCACCGGCCAAAGCCTTGCCGAACGCCGGCGGTGAAAGCCCCGGACGTGTTGCACAGCCAGCCTTTGGTTCTTCCCCTTTCCGTTGCCTCTTCTACCCATCACTCACATATCCCCATGTCTACGCATTTCATGGCACCTCTCCACAAGTCTTGCAGATCAATCGTCAGCAAAAACGAACGTGGCCACAGCTACAGCCGTCCACGTGCTCATATTTGTGTGACGTTTACAACGGGTCTTGAGTGTTCTACACGAGACGTGCTGATCAATTTCTTTCAGAAACTTTTTCCATCGCGTGTTCTACTGGCTTCGAGAAGCACGAAAGTACCTGACATAACCGGATAGGGTCTGGCCGAGGTTGAAGTATGGAATAGATGGTGTTATGGTGACACGCGACTAAACCTGCCCAGCCAAAAAATGAGTCTCCGGCCACGGCAGCAAGGAGCCGATCTCATTCGCTTGTTAGTTTCAAGCCGAATATCTCACCACCCGGCCAGAGATGACTGATCATATTTCCTTCCGTTTCTTCTCACCCACGTGGTGTGCATCATGCCTCTCTTATTCCCAAACAAGGCACCCTTCACTTTTACCTTCTCTCCCAGGGCAGACCGCGATTTGTGGGCAACCCATGCAGTACACTCACACCCCAGTCTCACCGATCGCCAACCCATGCTTCACCGGTATGCGCTCACCGGGCTAGGCCCTGCAGTTTGTTCTTTTCAATCTTTTTTCCAGTCTTCTTTAGGGCTACTAGTACAGATATGGGACCCGGATAGTGGAGTGAGTGTCTTGATGCCGGCTGCGGCGGGCGCAGCAGGATTGCCTTTCTGGCACCCTTTTGAAGGCGGTCTCCTTTCTTTCTTGTTTGTCAATGTCTCTGTCTTAAGCCTTGGCTCGGGGATGGCGATGTGCTACTGCATGAAACAGAACCGGTCAGTGAAAAAAGATGTTGGATGGTACCTGGAGGCTTAGAAGAGACGTCGACGCTGAGGGGCTGGATGGAGACAGACCGACAGCTCGAGTGAGCCTTCTTGCCAGCAGGCTCTCGTGGTACGGTTCACCGCCATAAGATCAAGGGCGGGTATATGAAGAGGGAAGCCCTAGTCGGTGAATTGGCTCGATTTGGTTTCTTTCGACCCAGACTAAAGGCAGTTGCCGAGGAGAGTTCTTTGTTCTGAAAACAAGCCATCCCAAAACCAGACAGCTTCATCTCTTTTCAGGCCGAGGGTACATACCACCAGCTACCTTCATTCATCATTCTCACATTATCAATTTGTCTCTCACTTCAGCTCATATCATATCAACCACTCTCATAGCCTATTCATCCCTCCAAGTTAGAACAAAATGGCACCCTCTGCTCTACCGGAAGAGCCCCAGATGTACGCATCAAGCATTTCAGAAATGGCACGCGGCCGCAAGTTCTACCCTTCAAACAAGTTCATCATCAGCTGCGGCACCGTCACAATCGACATGCGGGCACGACGTGTGCTGCTGATCTATAACAAGAGACACGCTATCTACCAGATGCCCAAGGGGCGGAAAGATATCGGCGAAGACCTTCTTGCAGCAGCGCTGCGCGAAACGCGCGAGGAGACGGGCGTTACGGTGAAGCCCGTTACCTTGAGACTCAGCACGAGAGCCACGCCTGCGGGTGGACCCTCCGGTGCCCCGGAGGTGTCTGAGGAGATCACTGACACGGAACCGATTGCTGTGTGTCACTACCCTGACCCGGCTACTGGCGCTATGAAAATGGTGTTTTACTTTGTTGCGGAGGGAAATTGTGATCTTGGACCCGAGGGCTGGACGGGAGAGGACAGAGTCAAGTTTGACGTGAGCTGGGTCGATGTTGATGAAGCTGCGGACAAGTTGGCTTTCAAGGAGGATGGCATGGTCGTCACCAAGGCTCTGGAGGATTTGAGAAAATCGGGGTATGATATCTGATGTTAGGGGGCGCTTTGTTTTTCTATTGGATCAGGCAAAGTTGGGCGTTGGCCATTGGAAAACGGGAGGCAGGATTCGCGTGGGGTAATTTGACTTGAACACGACGCGCAGGCATACGGTGTTGGCATTGTCGGGATCTTCTACTTTCTCTGGGTTTGGTAAAAAGTCAAGAAGACAATTGAATTAGGCTATATTGTTCACAGGAATCAGTTTTTGATTGAAGTCTGTTTGTTCCGGCCATTTTGATGAATCTCAGCAAATTAGCCTGATGAGCTCATGAGAGCTACCAGCCCAATGTCTGGAGGTTCACCCCGAGGGCTTCCCGACCAGTTGCCTGCGAAGAAGAAGGAGTCTAAGTGGAAGAAAAGAGAAAACATGAGGAAACGGTATCACGACCGCGGACCAACTCCCGAACGTAGCAGGAGTCTGACAGCTTGGCGGTGACAGGGGCTTCCCATCCATCTCGGATGCATTATCCAAGTCTCCCCGGCGACATACTTACCCTTAACTTGCGATCGATTCATGGGAAGAAATTTCAATCTGACAAACCAGAACGCTGGGTCTTGCAGGGCGGGGTGGGCGGCGAGGGATGCAGGGCTGCGGCGGTCCAGCCCACCGCTGCCCGCAGCCGCTTCCCTGTCGTCAAGACATCTGATGGAATAGAGATGTGCAGTTGAGAATCGTTGAGAGTTATTTGGTTCAATTGCATTTCAGCCCGTTTCATGATTGGTTTACTGTCACTTCACCGCGCGTATGTCTCGTCGTGCCGTCCCTTGGCGTCTCTCGGTTTCATGAGTACGATTCATTCACCGTAATGGAATCGAGGAAAGACAGAAAGAATAGAGACAACATGGTTGACCGAGAAGGTTTAGATGACTAGCTGCATGAAGCTTTACCTTAGCGAGTCTTTCTTGACTAGCAGGCGCAATTCGTGTCTCGGGTCGACCGTGACTGCCGATGCCGGCCGGTCGAACTCGGGACCGGCGCCGGCATTCTTCGACTAGTGGGGCCGATCATACCCACCCTTGGCGGGTCCCTTTTGCCGAATTGATTTTCATTGAAGCAAGTGGTGACATCACCCCCACGAAACCCCCCTCCCACTTGGAAGTCCCAAGCTCCTGATGGGGCCCTCATTGCTACCCCTCCATGGAGACAATCGAGGACCGCGGCTGTCCCCCTCTCTTGCCAATCGCGAACAATGAAATCGTCCAAACAGAAGGGGCGCAGAAAGCTTCCGTTAGCTTCGTCTGTACTGCAAACGTCAGCGAAACGGAGCAGCTCTTAACCCCGCCAAAACGCAGCTTAATCCGTCATTGACTCTCCACTTCGAGGAGCCCGCACCCGCAACGTACATATTATTACCTCCACTTGACGTTTGAAGCATAATAAATCCAATGTCTTCCCACACTGCCAAAGCCGCGCGCTCCGCTTCCCAAGCTTTATCTAGATCGTCGTCCCGGATTCCCAAACAACCTCACTCCCCCACCCCTGCGATAGCTTCTCGACCAACAACCACAACAACACCAAAGAGCTTTGCGACTTGCTACAGCTCAACCACCACATCGACAACCCTAACACAGCAATTTCACAAGTCGTTCTCGACACAAGCCGCCAAGATGTCGACTATGCCTGCTCAGCACGGCCACAGCGAGGGATGCTGCAACATCCCTCCTGTCGTCTCCAAGGGCTACGATGCCAAGGGCAGCTATGAAGAGATTGGATCAAAGAAGACCTGTGAGTCAGCTGCCAGGTCTACCTACCTAGCCAATGCGTTACAGTGCTAACTGAATTACCACTACAGACGTCACCGGTCCCGCCGACGCAAAGAAGGCCATCGTCGTCACTTTCGATATCTTTGGATTCTTCCCCCAGACGCTCCAGGGAGCCGATATTCTGGCCACCAGCGGCGCCGAGAAGTACCGCGTCTTCATCCCGGACTGGTTCGCTGGCGAGCCCTGCCCCATCGAGTGGTTCCCTCCCGACACCGAGGAGAAGCAGAAGAACCTCGGCGGCTTCTTCCAGAAGTTCCCGCCCCCTAAGATTGCTGAGCAGACCCCCGAGTACGTCAAGGCCATTCAGTCAAAGTACCCGTCCATTGAGTCTTTTGCTACCATTGGCGTAAGTATCCCTCCCGCCTACCTGAGTACAGAGTAATTGGATAGACGCTAACAAAATCGCAGTACTGCTGGGGCGGCAAGGTCGTTTCACTCGTGACCTCGGGCGACAAGAACCCCTTCAAGGTCGCCGCTGAGGTCCATCCCGCCATGGTCGAGCCCGAGGACGCCAAGAGCATCAAGATCCCGCTGATTATGCTCGCTTCCAAGGACGAGCCCGAGGAGGACGTCAAGAAGTTCGAGGCCAACCTCAATGTGACTAAGCACGTCGAGACTTTCAAGGACCAGATTCACGGATGGATGGCTGCTCGTTCTGACCTGGAAGATTCCAGAGTTAAGGAGGAGTACACTCGTGGATACAAGACAGTTCTCGAGTTCTTTGGAAAGAACTTCTAAGGTTGTGTGTAGATGGTAATAAATACGAATGAATTATGAATCACATCGAGGGCACAAATTGAGATGGTTTCATGGGGACCTCGTTGTGCATGCTCTTCATGATGAACCATTCGCCATTCTATCAGAGAAACCAGGACCACAAGCCTCTTCTATGGGACCTGGCTAATGAAGAAGAAGACTATCTCGATTTTACAATAGCTGACCTTTGTGATAAGACCACTTGAAGTTTATCTCTTCGTCGATTTCCTTGAATCTCCACAAATTTCTTGACAGTATTTCCACGTTCTTACATTGATTCTGTCCCCACACAGCACCACATTCTTTGAGTGACATGAAAATTGACAAATTTCCCCTCTCAGCTGCATACAACATAAGATTTTTCCCATTCAACTCCCCATTGACACTCACATCCTCGCGAGTGGCCAGAAATTGCAAAAGCTCCACGGAATTCTGATGGATCGTCTGGATCAGAGCTTCTTGCCCGTTGATGTAGTTATGGTCGACTTTGGGGTCATCCAATATCATTCTGACAACCTCTGTGTTGGGTCTGCGCCCAGGAGTTCCCGTCACTGCATACCACAAAACCGTTCGTCCGTGGTCGTCCTTCGAGTTCAAGTTCAGATTTGTCGACTCTAGGATCATCTTGAAACCTTCCGCAGATCCGCGTTCTGCAGCGTAGAACAGCAACGTTCTCCCATGGGCGTCTTTTGAGCACAGGTCGAAACCATTTTGACAGAACATATCAATAATGGCAAGATCAAATTTGTGACGAGCGTAAAGCCATACAGCACCGTCGCTGCCCCCAATGCCTGAGTTAGCGCCGTGTGCTAGAAGACTCCGGATGACTTGGTCATCTATGTCTTCCGCTGCGCATGCCCAAGCCAAGGGAGTCCGACCGCTTTCATCAGGGACATCAACCTCGGTACCTCTCTTCAAGAGAAGTTGCACAGCCGCGAGATTACCGCATCCTGCAGCCCATGATAATGCGGTCCGTCCTTTCTTATCTGCAGCTTCGATATCGGCATCATGGTTAAGAATAATTTCTACAACCGCCTTGTTGCTCCCGACAGCAGCCTGTAGTAAAGGGCGCTTTCCCCAAGTTGATTCGATCTCTGCTTCGACATTGTTCTCTAACAGGAAATGAAGAGCTGGGATATTTCTAGAGACGATGGCCCAGTATGTCGGGGTCTTGCCCTCGTGGTCTCGGGCTCCGATGTCCGCTCCCATCTCTACGAGAAGTTGAAGAGCGGCTGTAATGCTTTCCTCTACATCAACTGATGCAGGGTTTTGAATACTGGGTTCTTGCGTGTTCAAGTCGTGTCTTTCAGTAATGACTGCACCACTCATGAGCGCCGACAAAGCTGACTCTTTGCCCGTCATGCTGGCCACTGATGTGAGAATCTCTTCGCCTGCATCCTGAGTATAAACGCAAGCCCCTTGTGTCATAAGAAACCTAAACGCTGAGTGAAATCCCATAAGAGCGAGTGCGCAATGTATCCTTCCCATGTTATTCGACGTATCGAGGTTGGCCCCTAGCTTCAGAAGCAGTCTCAGAGTCTCAGTGAGCCCTTGATCCAATAGTGAGATCTCACTATAGTCAAAGCTTTCTCCTCTGGAAAGGAGTATTAATAGCTCGTCAAGCATGAAATTCAATGAAATGGGTTGAATTTTGTTCGCTGATGTTGAGATAGTTGAACAATAGTTCAAGTACTGTGAGTCCGAGTATTTTGAGTATCTTAAAGAGTTCAGGAATTCCAAAATGACGTGTGGCAGCCATTCGTGACGATCTTGGTCGAGTCCTTTGCCGCGTATGAAGTAGACAATTATCCCCCAGCAAATTTTAGTCACGGAGGGTTCTTCCTCAAACATAAATTCGTCGAGGTACTGCGTGGATTGGTACCACCAGTAGAGTCTGGTTCCACATACCACGTTGAACCAACTGACATCATTCTGGCTGATAGGCTGTGAGAAGATGCATGACTCCTTGTCCTGCTCAGGATCCCCATTGAGCCTTCGCTCAGCGGAGAACCCGATGAAAGCCTCTAGCACAGCCGTTCGGTGTTTCTTCATAGCTACTCGCATGCATTCTCGAAAACACTGAATTGATACCTTTCTCTTAAAAGTTTCAGTGCATGGTGAATGTGATTCAAGCGGGGTGTGCTCGATGGCGTCGCTGTCGAGGTAAAACTTGACAACATCTAACCGATTTGCGAAGGCAGCCCACCACAAGGCGGTTTTACCACTTTCGTCAACCGAGTACATGTCGATTTCCGGGAGAGTATAGTTGGTGAACAATTGGAGAATCCCGAAATATGCTGCCACTTGTGCCGACGTGCGAGGGATAGATGGCATACAACGTAGTTGTCTCAGCACCGAAGCGGATCTATTACGTGCGTCTTGGTTCCGAAGAAACCCAATTACTTCTGTCGGGATAATCGAGCTCTCTCGTGTGTGTTCCCCCCAGTATAGAGTTGCATAGTTGAAGAACGGAGCGGGCTTGTCTCTGCGACCTTGCAAATGTCGCCGTTCGAACTTGAATTCAAAGTCGGAGTCAGAGTCGTATTCGTAGGAATCGTAGTCTCCGGGAAGCTTGTAAACATTCTTGATCGAAAGGTAATTGGTACATGCGATTGCGATTTGAGAGTCAATATCTGGGAAAAACTGATGTCTTTTCCTCTCGAAGTACTCTTGTGTTGTCTGGTGAACAAGTCGTATCACACCACCACTTCGCTCACTGACTGTTACAAGTCCAGCACATACAGAGATCATGGTTTCGACTGGTATGATGTTGTCCTGGTCTATATCCGTTTCTCCCTCTTCGACGGCGAGGGCATGCTGCAGCTCTTTGATTGTAAGAGGCCTCTTGGCGCCTATTGTCCAAGAGAGAACGTTCAGCGCGAGCTCAACGTGCTCAGATGGTTGAGACCTAATCCGATTCATGGCCTCATCGTATACAGCTGAGTAGACGTCTGGCCCTCCACTCGTTTCTCCAAAGACTTTGAGTGCCTTCTTAAGCTCCTTTGGGTTTAGCTTGTTAGACCAAGCATCGATGAGCAGTCTCGCCAACAGGAACCTATGTGCGTCAGCACCATTTTCATGACGGTAGATACAGAGGTAGAGCTTGGAAACTTACATTCCATCAACCTTTTCTGCAATGATGTCTCTGATTTCCTTCTGTAAATCAAGGTTGTTGCGGACAAAGCTCTGCATGCGGGTCATACGATCTGTCGTGTATCTTAGTACGTCCTCCTCAATAGCCCTGATTTCTACAGAGATAGAATTCTCGAATTCCTTCGACTCCAAGATCTCAGGAATTTCTCTGGTGGTTGCAAAAATATTGACTTGGGATCTTTGTTGTAGCCGGAGGATTTTTGGAAGAAAAGCTTGTAGAGCGTTTCTATCACACTCATCCAAGGCGTCAACAACAATGAACACTCTTTCGTAGCAGGAGGATATGATCTGGAGCAGATCAACTGTCTCTTGAATCGTTCTCAAAGTTCTTCGCTTGTGGTGTGTGTTGTAGAGCGTCTCAAGACTTTGAGGGAATGGAGAGCAGGATTGCGCCAGCTGCTTCGCTAGACTAGACAAGAGATCGTGGCAATCTTGGCGTTCGGTGTCCTTGAAGTTGCAGTAAACGTAGGCTATCCCGACCCTCGGTTCTTCACGGAACCGGTGTATCAAATGGTCTATGACGACGGAAGTCATGATGGTCTTGCCGGCTCCTGGCATACCACGGCACAGCAGAGTCTGGCCTCTGTTCGATACCCATTCAAATTCCTTGGACTCTAGTAGCCAGGATGCTGTTTCTGGGTGCCTTGTGGAGAAGTAATCTCGTTGTTGTGACGAATAGTCGGATGGCGTCAGCCACTCTAAAATTTCCTGTTGATGTTTGCTGGCTTGCCCATGGTGCATCGAATCCACCACTTGCTTTGTGCTTTGTATGACTCGACTGTGGAGCGTTGTCAGCCGCCGCCGTACTGATTAGGAGTGCACAGATTCATACTCACCTATCTGACGCGTTCTTGAGGGTATTCAGTAGTGTGATTTTGATGGAGAGACTTGATTGAATGCCGTCGATCGCTTTTGGGTCGAGCTGTAACCGTTGGAGAAACTGCAAAAGCTTCGACTTGTCCCACCTTCTCTTTTCGAGGGGCTTGTTGAGTTCCTTGCAATCATCCAAGACTTTTTTCAATCTCTTAAGGTCCTTGTAGGAACCTTCGATGATGTCCTCCAGTATCTTTTGCTCTTCATCATTGAGATTCTGCTGTGGGCAACGGGCTTCTTCGAGAAGCGGTTTGATGATCTCCACACTATTACTCTCTGTTAGTAAAGACTTCTCTGACGGATAGACGATGAAGAAATTCCGGAAGCATACTTCCTAACTAGAGAGACAAACAGCTCAGGCGCCTCAGAAAATCTGTCGTGGCAGTGTCTCAACTTGTCTATGACAGCGATGAAATCGCCGACACCAAACCCGAAACTCATCTTGGACGAATTTATCCGCAGATTTACGTAGGCGCATGAAATCGAAGAAAAGAAAGGAATGAGGATGACAAGGAGGACGAGGGAGGAACTGGGAGATTTAAAGAAGCGATGTCAATAGGAGACATTCCTGCACACCTGATTGGGCGTAACGTTGACCTCCAGCCGCGCCAATGTAGCTATGCAGGCTACGACGTGGCTGCAATACTCCCCAACAGAGGTTTGAGATCAGATTGGTTTGCCTGCAATTCACGTTTCTGTGGTCGTATAGGTGTGGGAGGCTATGCCAGACCGGTTGCAGCAAGTTAGGCGTCGACACGCTTACCTATTCCTGCCTGACATTTCATACTCTTCTGAAGGCGCAGGCTCACGCACGCATTGCGGCTGTCTGGGCGACCAGTAATTCACTTTAGATACCTGTGTCACCCCAAAACCGGCTCCGGGCCCTGTCTTCGCCTGAAAACCGAGCATACAGCCGTTTCACAACGCCTGGTGAAGGAAGGGACCAGACCTACGAAAGGAAACAGATATCAAGGAAGCAATGTGAAGAGCCGAGGGCTGCGCATTCTGTTGTAGGATTTCAGTGAAAGACAAATTGGCAAGAGGCCAACGTCTCCGGGCAAGCCTGGACATCAATACTTGAGTATTCTGGTTTCTCTTGCTATGACGAACACGAGACAATCGAGCTGGGCATATTTCATTTGCCAGTGATTATTTTATCTTAAGATTTGTGATTTGGAGTTGCTGGCACATGTACAGGTCAATAGGGCAATGCAACATTGTAGCTGACACGACGCTCGATGATAGGGAAGGCTGAGGGAGATCTTCGTAATTGCGACTCGCTTGATCATCTCTTCTAGATCTGATAAAAGGAAAAAAACACCCAGATTCGACAAAGAGCTCCTCTGTGTCTTCTGCCAGAGGAAGTGGGTAACTGAGACAGATAAACCCTATTGTCGAAGCAGAGATTCGCCGAAGTTTTTGAAACTTATTGGTGAACTTGCGAGGAAGGACCTGCGGGCTGCAAAGCTGCAAGAAAGTCTTGGGCCCTTGCTTCCCAAAATCTCCCATGTAAGTGTATGGCGTCTACTGCATATTCTCGTTACGTACCTCCTAGGGCCATAGGCTTAGCAAAGCTTTAGAGAAGTGCTCCTCTCATCAAGCTCTATCGGAGTAAGGGAAAATAACTCAGTGATTTCCCACCTCTGTGGTAGGGATATTCCACTACATTGGTGTTGATCTCCTCTACTTCATGCTGTTATTTGTAGAGACTTACACGTAAAAGGGAAAGCTCAAGCTGGAGTAATTGTCAACAGTGATATTGAAGATCCCAAGTTCAGTCTATGATACGAGCATAGCACCATCGCCCTTCAACCCACCTTCTCCTCCGCCTCGGAGAAACAACCTCAAACCCCTTCCCCTGAACCACCGTGATCCCAGCACCATACTTCAACAACACCCCAAGCACCCCAACATCTTTCCACCCCAAAGCATACGCAACAGCAGTACGTCCCCTCCCATCTCGACGATTCACATCAACATCACCCCTACCACACAAAAACTCCACAAGATCCGCAGCCCCAGCCGCAGCAGCAAGATGCAGCAACCCCCTCCCCTCCCCATCGACATCCCCAACCCTCACCCTCTCATCCTCAAGAAGCACAAACAATGTATCCGTATCAGGAACAAAGATCCGACCGGACTTGATCCACGCGCAGAGGGCATACCACACCGGCGCCCGAAGCTCACTGTCTTTGAGGTTCACGTCTATGCCCGGGACCACCATCAACAAGCGGGCCATCGCCGGGTTCGTCGTTTCCGCGGCGTAGGATATCGCTGTTCGACCGCTCGCGTCGGATAGGTTGATATCGGCTTCGTGGTCGAGGAGTGACTTGACCGCGTCCATGTTTCCGCGCCGGGCGTGTTCGCAGAGGGGAAGGGTTCCTTGGGCGGATAATGTGTTTGGGTTCGCTCCCTGTTGTAAAAGATCCCGTATTTCACTCAGGGATCCCTGAGCAGTGATTTCGTGTAGTTTTATGTCCAGGTCGGTCCCTGCTCTTGAAGCGTTTACGGTGATCGGTTCTCGCTCACCGGTTCCTGTACCTTGTGTATCGAGAGACGCTTCGGTCGTGGCGTCGCCAACGTCGACCCATCCCTGGTCGATAGCTTCACGAGGCTTGGGATCCATCAAGACCTCCTTGCTGATTTCGCCGGAGCCAGAAGCTTTGTGATTGTCCACAAGCTCCTGAAGCTGTCTGTCCAACATGGCATCTACACCGGAACCGTACACCTCAGGCTTCACCGCGAGAGCAACCTCAGCCAACTCGCGCCGCCGCGCCTCCGTTTCCCGAATTTCGGGCCTGGTATTGACTTCACGAACCATCGTCGGTACTGCTGAAAAGGGAAGACAGAAAGGTCAGATAAAAATTCAGTAAAAGTTCGTTCACCTTTGAGGGAATCTACCACTGGCCTACCTGTTGCTGGTATACTATTCTGTTTATCGAAGTCGGAATCCGCGCTCGATATAAGACGTCTGGCAAAGAAGAGACGACAAATTGCTAGATGACACTCCTCAACGTCGTCAGCACGGCTTTTGTTGAGCCGACAGAAAACGCCAGCCTCGCCAATACCTGACACGCCCACACATACACCCAAGAAAAACCAACCCACGGGACGGACGCATATGCACCAGCCTATCACAAGGCAACCAAGGCCAACCCAACTCTCTAGCTCTTTCGCAGCCCCCTGAAGCCTTGCAATTCGCCCATCCATTGCGCCCAAGAGTGCAGATCTCACTGGTGTAAAGGTGGTTACACACCAGGCAGCTATGTAACTCGTTCCTGCGCCACAAGGTCACGCGCGGGGGAATGTGTATGTGAGGTGGGCACATCGCCCAGCTTTCGGCTGCTAGGTCAAGTACTGTATAACTTTCATGGAAGACTCTCTCCTCGACCAGCAGATTAGCGTTCTTGGAGTGTGCTCAGAATTACAGCTCCCCGTTCAAGTCGTGTGGGAATAATCGCTCTTGTACCTGACTCCTGATGAGATTGACGTAGCCATCCTCGTTTAATCTGGTCCTTGCTTCATTGTCACGTTCAAGTCCAAACAATGTATGATTCTGGGGGTAATTTTCATTTTTTTTCATACATCAATTGGCTTTCGAAACAGCCAACCGCATCCATTAGCTAAGTTATCTCATGCAACCGTCTGTCTGCCGTTGTCGCATAACGCGACCAAATCGAACGCCAAAACCTCGCCAGTCCCTAGTATGCTACCGTCCCGGAATGAAAAGAAGTGAGAAAAAGAAGATAGTTACACAAGCAGCAAAGAAACCCTCCTATGCTCAAGATGTGAGGAAGAAGAAAAAAACCAAACCACAAGACCGAGGTCACGTCCGCCGGCTTGTCAACTAGGCAACCAGGGATTGGGGCTCGGACTTCTCGCAGGTAAAGAGGTTGACGTGGTAGTCTCCACGAGCAGCGCAAGCCAAGATCGGCTTGTGCGGGTGGAAGGCAGTTGCTGCGATGGGAGAGCCCCTGTTCTGTTGAAGGAAGCTTGAGTACGGTTCGACACGGGACAACTCTTGACCGTCGAAGTTGAAGACCTTCACGGCATGTGCAGATGTACCACTGCAATGGGATGTTAGTTTCAATATCACAATATTAAGAGGTCCAGGGTGATAACTTACACAGCAAACACCGGCAGATGTTCATGCGTGCTGGCTGTTCGAAGGGTGTCTCGAGTTGTTTGGTAAACGTGGAGAGGTCGATCCATGCGAATATCCCACAGTTTGACCTTTCCGTTTCTGCTTGCGCTGAGCAGTTCTCGTTGTCCGCCGCGCTGCAAATGAACGCTCTTGATCCATTGCCTATCCGTTTCGTCCTTCCACTTCTTGATCATGGAGTCCTGGGGTCTGATACGGGTGTCGAAAACGCGGACAGCGCCGTCGCCGAACCCTGCCACAACTGTGTGACCGGTCATCTGGTCAGATGTCAAAGACGTGACGCAGGAGCCAGACCGGGCGGGAATGTCAATGACGCATTTCTCAGCGCCAGCAGACCACACCCGAATGACACGCACATCGCCAGCCACAAGTACGCGGCCGAGCGACTGCTGCCAGTCGAACACCATACCGGAGTTGACGTTACTGGGCACCATGTGTGTAAGTGCTCGCCAAGACGAGGCTAGGTTGATGGATTTGTCGGAATCGTAGTTTTGGTAGATTCGGAGGACTCCATCTGACGAACCGGTCATCAGGAATGCCTGGTCGTCCTCATTGATGAACTTCATATCACTGATCCTCGACCCTTCAGGATTTCCGTTGGAAAACTTGCTCAGCCGTGCATGCTTCTTCCAATCCCAAACGCACACCGTGTTACCATCGTCTGCAACCGCAAGCTGGTCTTCAAACTGGTGGAAGGTGAGTTTGGCAGGTTGCGAGCCATTGTTGGTGATGCCCAACTGATTATTCCACTTATGGCTACCAGCGAACTGCTTGAGTGGTTGCGTTTCTGTCAAGATGAAGTCGTTCCGGGATCTTCTCCAGAGCCGTTCGTTATACTCAGTGCTGCCAGGCTCGTCCGACTCGCTGGGCTTCATCTGAGGCTCGCAGAAGTATTCAATAGACCACTCTAGGAAAGAACTTTGCAGTGGCATGGCTGGTGCTTCGCCCAGCTTACGATCCTCAAATCCAGTGGAGACAGGCTCTTTGGCAATGTGATAATTGGCATGGATAGCCGTTGGATCGCTCTGTTCTGGTGGCGCTTCAGCAAGCTCAGGGGCCTTGATCTTCTGGGAGCCAACCCTATGCAGACCGGGTGATGGTGCCGGAGAAGAGTAGTTCGGCTTTTCGCTGGCATCGGCCTTTCCATCATTGCCGAATAGTGGCAGCTGGAAAAGCAAGCTTGCCGTGCGACGCAACAGGCCAGGAGATGGCAGTGGTGGAGTAGCCAAAGAGTTAGAAACGCCAATCGCATTACTTCTTTGGCTCAAGTGCAAGTGATTCTTTGTCGACGCACGCTTTGCCCTCTTTCGGATGTCATCGATGAGGCTCTGCGCATGCTCACCAACAGCTGAAGCCATCACAGCTTGGTGGACATGGTCCACAATTACTGTAGCGTCACGCTGAACCTCAGGATGAGGATCAACATTGAGCATTAGAGCGTGCTTCCAGCAGGCTGAGAAGACGGTATTGTGAGCAAAACCGTGAACATTGGGCTTGATGGTGCCGTCTGCATTTCTGTTCTCTTTCCGTGCATAATGCAGGCCCATCTTGTGGTCCATGCCATCCTGGCCAGGAGGGAACAGGAGATATTCCCTTTCTTCTTGAAGCTGTTCATAAGCAGCGACAATGAACTTGCTCTCAAAGCGAAGAATAAACCTTGACAGGAAGACAAGGAACTCGCGACGGACCATTGGACTTCCGTCGTTGGCCATGTCTAGAAGTGTCCAAGCGATGGATTCTTCGATCCGAGCGACCTCATCCGTCAGGTCGATGATGCCAAGGAAAGTAGTCATGGAATACACCATGGCAGCTCGGACTTCAGGAACAGGATCCTTTGTCAGAAATGACAACTTGGCTGGCGCATTCTCTCGAATGCCACGCCATTTAGCCTCTGGGAGTTCCTGCCACAGCTGACTGATGCACAGACACGACCACTGACGCAGGAGCGGATTCTCTTGATTCTGCAGGTGCATTAAGCAGTAGGTCATTATGTCGGTTTGGTTGCACACATGCTGCCCTGGCTTATAATCCTTGCAGAGCATCGATAGAATGAAAGCGCACATCGCCTTATGCTCAGCTTCGTTAACGACTGGCAAGCCCTCGGATGGCTTCAATATCTGGGCAAAGTAGTTGTATCCGCTGTCCTTGATAAGGTCTTGCTGGCATGAGATATCCACAGCCAGAATGCGGGTCCAAATGAAGATCATGACCGGCTTCAGCTCTGCGGCAGCGGACTGCAACAACTTGAGGACATATGGGAAGATGCCTATGCTCAGGGCAAGCTGGACTGCCCAGGGGCCTAAGTCGAGGAATCTTCCGAGCAAGATGAGCGCTCTGACTCTGTGCTGTTGGCTCAGCAGAACTTGCAGCACCACTGGAAGCTGCTCAGGGGGCCTCTGAGAAAGTGCATCGCCACGAGTCAGGTAAACGTCGAATGCTGTCAGTTGTTCGGTGAAAAAGGTTGAGTTCTGGTACTCGTACTCGAGACCTTCGTTCTCCTTTCTCTCCAGCATAGGCAGTTGGGCTAGTGCCATATCCACGGCCAAGTCCCAGCTTGCCCACAATGGGTGCTGCCGGGTCTCAGGGAGCTCGGGGAAAGACTGCGGATGGCACCCATAGACAGACATGATTCTTTGGGCTAGGAGAAAGTTGCGAAAGAGAGCGGCCACCATGAGATCCTGCCTGAAAAACTTCCGGAATAGGTGTCGGGGCAGTGTAGTCCAAGCGATAGTATCCGTGATGGCTGTGAAGATCCAGTTCAACTCGCCGAGTGGCGTTCTTCTCTCCTGTAGCCTACCGGGCAGCTTCTTGGCGCGCTCTGGGGTAAGATTCGTCTTGAGGGGGTTTTGAAGAACGAAGAACCAAAGAGCCATTTCGATAGGGGTAGTGAGACATGCCGTGAATAGATCGGCTGGGAGGAGAGGGTTGGTAGGGAGATTCTCCTTGACGCCGCAGGCAGCTAAGTGGATATAGGGCTGAAACACGGTCTTCTCGTAGTTGGGATCTCTCGCGGCAGCTTCGTCCTCTTCTTGTTCGTGCTTCTCGACAAATCTGTGGTAGTTGTTGAGGATGTTGCCGGCTTCGGAACAGTCCCAGACGTAAATCGTAGGGGCGTGAAGCCACTGTTGAAGATCGTATAGCGATACTGGGATGTACTGAGTGTAATTCTTATTAAAAACCCAGATCTCTCCACTGGCAGTGGGCTTCGGCACGCCGTGGCCATTGTAATGAAGAAGAACCCGCTCATCCTTGGCGTTTCTACGCAGGGACTGGCAGAACTTTTTCGTCTCTTCCACCGACGGATCGAGGTACTGCTTATATCTTGTGCGTATAGCCAGTGTCTCGTACTGCGCCTGGAGGGCTTTGCCGATGTTCTCGAGGGCCTTCTGAGGTGGCGGCGTTGTAGGGTCTGTCCATGCTTCCAGTTTGGCGCCCGGGTTCGTCTTAAGCTGGTCGGGAGGCTCGACTGAAATATTAAGGCAGACGGCCAGCGCAGCAGATACTGTCTTAAGTCTATCTCGCATGCGCCAATCCTGCAGCTTGTGTAATGTCGCCTTGGGCTTGCCGGTTGTCTCGTGTCGCTTGTCGGTCCAATACATGTACCAATTCTGGAGAAAGGAGTCAGCACGGCTCAAGATGCGAGTTGAAACCAACGAGTCCCAATGGCGCAAAGAAGCGATGTTGTCGCACTCGGGCTCGTCTGGATCCAAGACTGCCAATACGGTTGTCGGCCCCATCCACCCGGGAGACTGCATCGTCTGAAATGTCTAGATGGGAGTGGAATGTAGATTCGCGCCCTGGATACGGTCATGCCCCGCGTTGCCCCTCGGGACTGGATTCTGGGCAACAGCGTCCCAGCATGTCGTACGAGCAAGCCAAAAGAGCAGAGCACCAAGTCTCCTTTCTTTGCGCGACGCGCGCCGATAGGAGACTATGGTTAGACCAGTCCGGCTGGACAGCGCCGCCACAAGGCCGCCAAGTGGGGAGGCGCAGAGCTTGGGGTGGGAAAAAGGAAGAAGGGCACAAAGTGTAGATGGAGAAGGCGAGA